GAACCGGGATGCTCGGGGACACCCTCCACTTTGTCCCCCCGTCTCCCCGGTGTCCTCTGGAGAACCCGGGTGGGCCCGGTGCTGAGGCATCCCTGGGCACGGGTGGTGCAAATGCACCTCCCCACCGCAGGGAAGCGGCGCAACTTTGGTGCATGCTGCGAGGGGCAGCTCGCCTGGGCAGGGAGAATGGGGAAAGCTGTTAAAATATAAATTAATTAGCCCTTAACTGTGGTGGGGACTTCAGTGGTCAAGGCTTCTCATGCCATTAATGCTTGCAATCCACCTTTCATGCATACTGGTACAGCATCCCTGCTTAAAGCGGCCCAAAAAAGCAGCACGAAAGCCTGTGGGTTCCGTGGGTGCTGCCCACGGCCCGACTGTATCCATGAAGATCTCTTGAGGTTAATGCAAACTTAATTGTCATTTCATGAAGTTCTGCTGCTGTTTGCAGGCTCGGTTGTGTCCTCGGTGTGTAACCACAATTGTTAGCCTGTATGCGCGATCACAAGCGCTGTTTTGTCAGCGATGTCGGGGCTTTTGTGTGTCAACTTTGTCATTAAAAATGAGATTAAATGCTTTGTCTCTACAGCTGGCCATGCGTCAAAGTGGAGTACGTCTTAGTAAGCACTATAAAAATATCATATAGTTGTTGTTTCTATATTGCAATGTCACACTTTACTTTTAGCTGTGCTGAATTTCAGTTTTTCATTTTCCTTCTGCATGAAGGCTAGAGCTAATTACCAATGTTGACAAGACTGTGTTTCTCTGGAATTTAGAAAGCATGAGTGAGGTCCTCTGAAATCACTCTTGGCCATCACGTTATTATCCTTTTCTTTAAACAAGTCTTTGAAGAGTATTTTTGTCACCTTTGAGATCTTAATCTACTTGTCCCCAAAGCTCTGCAAAACATATGCGCTGAGGCAAGGCAGTCTTCACGCTTCTGGTGAATTGTTTTGGTCCCTGCCCCACAGACCTGTTTGGGGCAGCAGCCACCTGGGACAGGGCTAGGGGTGGAGGACGGATCAGCGTTCCCAGGTGCGTGTTGCCCTTTGCAGCTGGAGGGTCCTGCTCAGTCTGAGCCGCAGGTGGAGCTGTTTCTATGAGTGTTTTCCCCCCTCAATTTTCCCCTGAGATGATGAGCCAGACTAGAGCAAAATGGATAAATGGGAAGTCTGAGCTAATCTGGCTCATTTGGAGAAAAGTGGGTTAGGGCCTGCTGCACAAGGGACACATAAGCACTCCTAGCAAGAGCTATGAAGAAATGAGAAGGGCGATGCGTATGCTTGTTTAATTGTTTTCATGTGAATAGCTATTTACTCTGCCCCTTACTAATACTACAAGAGTCTCTTCCTGGAAGTTTTACAAGCTAGTGTGAAGTATCACTGTTTTTATCTGAAATATGGATGTTTTTCAAATAATCTGAGCTTAATACGATTGTTCTCGATTGTATGTATATGATTGTACCTCCCTGTTTGCAAGTTTGGAGCCTCTTACAAATGGGAGATTAAAATGCATTGTTTTAAATCTATCTCCGTGAGGCTGCTTGTGTGAGAACTTAATTGTGAATCAGGCGAGAAAATACCCATGGGATGGACAGGGTGTTTTTGTCATCAGACCAACAGGCAATGCAGTCTATCTCTCTTCCTAAGCTGTAGGACATCCCTATTCTTACGGATCTGCAAGTGTCACCCTTGATAATGACAATGAAGCTGCTTTTTGAAAACAAGAAGTGTCTATCCATGTCCCCCTTAGCATGACCAACACAGGCAGCGTATCTCAATGTAAAGATGTATTGTGCTCCCTCCTTTTTTTTTTTTTTTTTAAACACCATACGAAACATTATTGTTGGCAGATTTTGAACTCTTAGCCTGCAGTGTGACAGTTAAACTCTTTTCCTTTAGGAGCGGCACTTCCTGGTTACGACATGGTTACAATGCTCCATGAGGGTCTTCACAAGCGTTACCTGCATGTTTGCTTTTGGAGTTCTAGTGAGGGCTAGTAAGCTTCTTGTTCATATTAAATCTGGGATCAGATTTTTACTCTGTTGCCTGTAGCTGCTAAGCTGCTGTGCCGCTTTTAGTCCTTCATAGGGTCTCTACTTGAACAAAGATTTTCTAGCTTGCAAATGGCACCACAGGTGAAGTTTCTTTCTGTGGCTTAACTGTCAGGGAAAGATGCATTGTTCAGCATCTAGTCTGCGTGTTGCCATGGTCTTTCAGGAATGCATGAAGACTGTGGCATGAAGACTGGCCTAGCTCTGTGGGCTGGCAGGTGATTCCAGGAGCTGGATCCAAGTTCTGTTATTTCTGAAAGTGTTGGGTGACATATATGCCTTGCTGTCCCCATGGCAGCAGTTACTGGATTGTGTTTAGGTGTAATCACAGTTTGTTTCTGACAACTGTCAACAAGTAAGTTGGGATTAGTTTGCCTGTTTGATAGAAGTCAGTGCTGATGTTGCACAAGGATAAATTTTGAATATTTTTCTGCCTCAGGAGTTGTGTGGCAACCAGAACTGTCATTATGGCAACAGCTTGGAACAAGGTTTGAGCGACAGATCTCTCAGTTTAGCTATTAGCATTTGAATTAGCATTCACTGAGGTGTTCGGAGAGCTTTTTCTTTACTTACTGCTTCTCTGTGAGTCAGGAGACTGCTTCTTCTGGTAGTCTAGGACTATGTTTGAAGGGTTTCCTCTCTTAGATTGCCAAAGGTTATATTTAGATTAAAGTAGAGACTCTGGAGAACAATCGAGAAAAATGCAAATAGCTGTGTTTTTTTTTTTTTTTTTTTTAAAGCGGGTGGCCTTCACGTGTGCCTAACTGGAGCTCATGGCACTCATTTGAGGAAGTGCTATTGTCAGAAGAGAGTATCATAAGATCAAACGTTCTTCTGTCGACTCTGCCTTGTAACAGAAGTAAATACGTCCATGAAAGACTGAGCCTGTGTTTAAAGAAGAAAAGGGTGTAATCTAGTCATGGTACAAACTGGTGGCAAAGATATTCAGAGGCACAAAAGGGAATTAAGCACCAAATACCCGTCAAGCGTCCACAGAAGCTGGACACTTTTAGTCCTATTCCTTTGCCATAGATGAGAACAAGGTCACGACTCTATGTATTGTTTATGCTTTTTAAAAATCTCTCCTTTCTATAATAACAGGATAACTTTTTAAAAAAAGCTAATGGCAGGAAGCAATCATTGGAAACTGTATTTGGAGAGAAAGCATTTTCTATTACTTCATACAGCAAAATGGGCTTTTAAGATCACTTGTCATCTGTGATTTTAGTTATTTTGTTAGGGCCTATTTCTCCAGGTTTGAATCAGAGCCTTATTTTATTCTAAAAAATAGTGAAAAATTAATAATTAGATTTTAAAGCTAAAAGCTCTTTACTTCCTCTTCTGCTTAATGC